TGTGTGTTCAGAAAATTGATTAATAACTGCTCAGTGACTTTTTATATAATATAATTAAATATAATATAATATAATTAATTTCTAGTTTAGATCTAGCAAAGAATTAAAGATAAAAATCAGTTATATGTTAGATTCTGACCGCTCACTGATCAGTTTTCTTTGCTGAACGCAGTCAATGTTTTGACTAAAAATTACTTTATACCATATTTATGATTTTATTATAATTGTAGTTAAATTTCAAATTGTAATTACGTAAATAATAAAAATTTTTCTAATTTTTGAAACATTTTTCGTATGTGTTTGTTCTTCTTCAGGTTTTAATATACATTATTACATTATACATTATAAACAAGTAAAAAAAAAACATTATAAACAAAATATGTTTTGCCCTTAGAAATGCTACAAAATCTGGAAAATATACAAAACACAAACAAAAAAGTACCGGAGAAATCTAAGAGTGAACAATCCTTGAGCAGAAATCAAAGAAAACGCAAGCGTCGTAAGTATAATATAATTTTAATTTTATAAATTAAATAATGTGATTAATAATAGTACAATAGAAAATTTCTTAATAAATGGAACATTTTTATTAAAGAATTATATTTTATACGATTATATACATTTATTAATCCAAAACAAACAATTGCAGGATTAGTAGCGGAAAGTATTGGAGAATGTGGATCACTACCCAACGATCTAGAAACTGAAGATACTATAGTGTCGATGACAAACGATGAAATCGATATAGAAATTTGTAGTGATACAAATAACGTTCCGCAACAAATGGCAAAGAAAAAAGCGCGGAGATCGAAAAAGCGTTCGGACAACAAATTCGATGATTATAGCTCTTGTACAGATGCTGATTCGGACAGCTCTGAGGAAGTTTATCAACTCAGACCGACTAGATCTGGCAGATTGTCAAAAAAAATAAGGAAGTTACAAGCGCCTGACTTAACTACACGTAACAGTAATAATATAGAAAAAGAATTACCAGCAGACAACAAGATACCCTCACATGTAGCTGTGGAAATTACAGAGTATGTAAATACACAAATCACGAATAGCGAAAACACGGAAACATCTTGTTCCGATAATATTATGTCGATGATACCAAATATTAATCAAATGGAACCAGGAGCCTTAGTAATCGTCTCGAAAGAATCCGCAGAGAATCCTGGAAATACTATTTTACAAGTTTATATGGTTGCCTCCAATGACTCTAATACAACAGTTACATCTAGCATGGCGTCTAAGAATCAGCTATCGGAGCCATCTTTGACCAATCAACCAGAAAATATCGAACCGATTGATATTGTGGACGATTCTGAAAAATGATCTTTTGCATTGCATTTAATTATAATCTAACTTTATATAAAGTTACAAAAATTGGAATATTCCTTGATAGGATATTAAATTTTGTTGTAAATTTATGTAAACTATATAAGATAAATTTTTATTTTTTTCGCTTATATGTATATATATATATGTATGTATATATATATATATATATATATATATATATATATATATGTGTATATATATATATATAA